GTGGTGGTGGTGTAATGTGGACATGCATGCAAATGCCTGTGAAGGCCAGAAGGTGGTTTGGGATCCCCTGGAGCTGGAGTTTGAGGCATTTGTGAGCTACCCAGTGTGGGGACTGGCAACTGAGCTCTGGTCTCTCCAGAAGCAGAAGTTAGCTCCTCACTACTTGAGGCTTCTCTCCAGGCCCATCACGAGCGGTTGTCAAGACCCTGGTTAGTCCCAGACTCCTTCCTGTGGTTGCCACTTCCTGGTGCCTTTGTTTTGTTGTTCCTCCTCTTTTCATCTTGGTCGATTCATTTAGAAAGTTCCATGTTTTCTAACTCTGTTTTCTTTCTCCTCTCTCTTTCTGTGGAGTCTTAACAGTGCCCAGGCCCTGTTTAGTTTGAGTGGTTATAATTGAGAAGAGTTGAGATTTGAGAAGAAACATTGTTCCTTGACCCTTCACTCAGAATCTGGCTTCTTTTCTAGTCATTTACTAGGAGTCACTAGAAGTAGATTCCCATGGAGCCTAGCTTCAAACAGTAAAAACTAGTCGAAATACCATTATCTAATCTCCTCCTGAGGATAAAGAAATGCTTATTCCAGTGATTAAGGTCAAGTAGGAATGACTTATTTTGACTCCTGTTCCTGCCTGCACATGTTAGATGTACAGAAAGGGTAAACTTGGCTTGGGAAGGGAAAGTTCTCCCATTCAGCATCATATTATGTGTCCATTAGGAGAAGAAAGCGTGATGAGGACCGGCACGACATCAACAAGATGAAAGGTTATACCCTGCTCTCAGAGGGCATTGATGAAATGGTGGGCATCATCTATAAGCCCAAAACTAAAGAGACTCGGGAGACCTATGAGGTGCTGCTCAGCTTCATCCAAGCTGCTCTTGGAGACCAGGTGAGGCTGGAAACAGAAGATGAGACCTTGTGTTTGGAAAGAGAGAGGTGATACCATAAATATTTTGGTTAAATTGTTAGTTACATATATTCTGTGTGTGTGTTACTACATGCATGTGGAAGTCTGGACAACTTTCAGAGTTGGTCTTTTTTTTTCTCCCCACAGCTGAGGACCAAACCCAGGGCCTTGTGCTTGTTAGGCAAGCGCTCTACCACTGAGCTAAATCCCCAACCCGAATTGGTCCTTTCTTAACTGTGTGTGAGACTCAGAGATCAAACTTAAATTGTTGTGCTTGGTGGAAAGTACCCTACCTGTGGAGCCTTCTTGCTAGTCCAACCAGAAGAATCTTAATCTGGATTCTCCCAGCAGGGAACAGAGGGCAATATCATTTTTGCAGAAATGGCTAATACTTCCTGAGCACTTATTGTATGCAGAACAGAACATTGACTGTGAATATGTGCTATTAACATTCATTTTCAATTTTATAGAAGAGAAACATGAGATACTTAAGTCAAAGAGATAGCATTTGTCAGTCAGAACGTGAATCCAAGTGGTCACTATCCAAAATCTGCCCTGAACCATTGCACACTTAGGATTAGATTGGGAGCCTTTATGAGTTCTCTTGTGAGGTAGGGAATAGAGGATGTGTGAACAAAGAATTAGTGCAAGTGTGACAGGATAGAGGAAGGCTGCCGAGTGCCTTATTCACATAGAGATGTGTGGCAAGCTGTTGGGAAGTTTGTTCCGGTTCTGAAGAACACCTCCCTACCTAGTGTCCCTCCCTCCCCGCCTCCTTTCTGGGGACTGACTCTAGGATCGCAAGCATTTTAAGTACATGTGGTACCACTGTGCTAAATCCTCAGCAGCTTCCTATAGTTTTTAATTTTTGTTTGTTTGTTTGTTTGTTTGTTTTATTTCCAAGACAGGGTTTCTCTCTGTAGATGACAAGGTTCCTTTCTGTAGCCCAGGCTGGCCTCAAACTCAGAGATCCTCTTGCCTCTGCCTCCTGAGTGCTAGGATTAAAGCTGTGTGCCACCACTGCCCAGCTGTCTTTTTAAATTTTATTTTGTTTGTGTGAGATAAAGTCTCATGTAGCTTAGGCTGACTTCAAACTCAAATGTGTATTCAAGAATGACTGTGAACTTCTGGTTTTGTTGCTTCTTCCCAAGTGCTAGGATTACAGGCACATGCCACTGTATCTGGTTGATGAATGTGGTCAAAGCCTGGGATGCTGCAGATTTTCCTCCTTTTCTTTTTCTCTTGTTCTTTAAATTACTTTTCATGTGTATGACTGTTTTGCCTACATGTATACATGTACACCATTTGTGTCTGGTGCCCCTGGAGATCAGAAGAAGGCATCAGATTTCCTGGAACTTGAGTTACAATTTTTTGAGCCATCATGTGGGTGTTGGGAATTGAACCCAGGTCCCCTGCAAGAGCAACAAGTGCTCTTAACTTTTGAGCCACCTCTCCAGCTCCTGTAGTTTTGAAGATACATGCTTCTTTATTTCCTATATAAAGCCACAAATCTGGTCAGTTTCCTTCTACATATCGTTGTAGTAAATGTTGTTTGTATTTTTTTCTTTAGCCTCGTGATATCCTTTGTGGGGCAGCTGATGAAGTTCTGGCTGTCCTGAAGAATGAAAAGCTTCGAGACAAGGAGAGAAGAAGGGAGATTGACCTGTTGCTGGGTCAGACAGATGATACCAGATACCATGTGCTAGTGAACTTGGGCAAAAAGATCACAGACTACGGTGGAGACAAGGAGATCCAGAATATGGGTACTTGAGCCCTTTGTGTCCTGATCATATTTTGTGGTCGTTGGCCTTTCTTAATGAGGGCATCTGCATCATTGTTAAAATTTCAGAATAGCATTGTTTTTATAACCTATTTTATGTTGCTTGAAGAGAATGGCTAATATGCCAGATTGTTGGCACAGCCTTATAATCCCAACAAGTCAGCCTGGTCTATATAGCAAGTTCTAGGTCTGCCAGGGCTCCATAGAAAACCCCAACTTTGTGTGAGAGAGAGAGACAGAGAGAGACAGAGAGAGACAGACAGACAGACAGAGAGAGACAGACAGACAGACAGAGAGAGAGGACAAACTGACACTAGAATCCCTTGATTCCAGCAGCCATTTCTTGGTTTTGGTTGTGAGCCTAAGCATTTAATGGTTGAGCTATCTCTTCAGCCCTGGAAGCCATTTCTTATTCTGGGACTTATTGTGTAGAATGTGGGAGAGAGCCGGGAGGATTTAGGAGCTGAAGAAGCAGAGCAGGGCAGAATCCAGGTTGGCAGGTTGGAGAGGCCTGGGTGCTGGCTTTCATGTTGTTTATGTCTGTGTTTCCAGCCTGAGAATAAACAAACCAGGCAGTTGAGGAAATGGGTTCAAGTGTCTGCTAATCACTGCCCTCTTTTTGTGGTTCCTTATCCCCTCAGATGACAACATTGATGAGACCTATGGTGTGAATGTACAGTTTGAGTCTGATGAGGAGGTGAGTGATGAAGTAAATGTATCCTATCTGTTTTGTGAAGTTACCAAGGTGATGGGGGCCTGTCTTATGTACTGAAATCCCTAGCTTAATAAACTACTGGTTGTAAATTAACAGTGAATAATAAACCAGATAGAACAGAAACCTGGGGCGAAGGACTGGAAACTGCCATCCTCTGGGCACAACACAGCTGTTGCGATCATGACCTCACAACAGCTGCCGTTACTGCTCTGGGCTGTAGTAAGTGGAGATTGGGGTTGTCTCCATAGGAAGGTGATGAAGATGTGTATGGGGAAGTCCGAGAAGAAGCTTCTGATGATGACATGGAAGGAGATGAGGCTGTTGTGCGCTGCACCCTCTCGGCTAATGTAAGTGCAGTCTCTGTCTGCTGTAAGCCAGCTCATTTCTGGGTGTAGCACTTCTCCTACTAAAAAAACACACTGGGCTATGCTTGTTTTTTGTTTTCTGTTGTTTTTTTGGAGGGGCGGAGGCAGTGCCGGGAATTGAACCCAGGGTTTGGGCATGCTAGACAAGTGCTCCACTACTGACCGATTCTCATCTTTTTGGGTTGTGGAGCCTTTTGTTGTTTTGAGACAGGAACTTGCTCTGCAGCCCAGGCTGGTCTCAAACTTTTGATGTCTTGCTCTCAAGTGTTGAGATTATAGGCATGCCCGTGCCTGTCTTCCAGATTTTCTTTTGATGGATATTTGATTTTTTTAAATTTGATATGTAGATAATACTGCAAAGACAACAGTATTAGAGTATATTTGTTTGTTTGTTGTCCTGGGGGTTGAACTTACTGTCTTGTGCATGATAAATGCTCCAGCAGTGAGTTACACAGCTCCAGGCTTTAAAGAAATTTAATTTTTTTTTCTTTTATTTTGAGAAAGGGACTCACTAAGTTGACCAGGCTGGACTTAACACTTACCCATGCAGGCCTGGAGCAACTAACCTGAGGTGTGTGTGTGTGTGTGTGTGTGTGTGTGTGTGTGTGTGTGTGTGGTGTTTTCTGAGATAGAACTTGATGGACAGCTCAGACTGATCTGGAGTTTGGAATCCCCTGCATCAGCCTCCTCAGTACTGGGATTACAGATGTTCTACCAAGCCCAGTTTGAGCCTTAAACATTTAGCATTTTCATTTTCTTAGGATTTTAGTCAGTTGTTACTCTTCTCAAATATGTGGGTTAATGAAATCTTAGTACGATGTGCACCTGAATTCAGTGTACTAGAGGTGTTTCCTTCCGGAAAGGTCTTAGAAGGTAGCCTGTGGCAGGACGGGTAAGGTTGTTGCATGATGTTAATGATGAAGAGACCTAGTGAGCCCAGTGCCTGCTTTCCTCCTCAGCTCGTAGCCTCGGGAGAGCTGATGAGTTCGAAGAAGAAGGATTTACACCCTCGGGATATTGATGCATTCTGGCTCCAGCGACAGCTCAGTCGTTTCTATGATGATGCCATTGTGTCGCAGAAGAAAGCAGATGAGGTGTTGGAGATTTTGAAGGTATGGCCAGGATGGTATTTCTATTCCACGTGTCTTGTCAGAAAGGGTCAGTGTTTAGAAGACAGCTGTCCTTAGCACCAGTGCAGCGACAGTGTCTGAAGTAGCAGGTGGCTGTGTTCTTACTGTTGGTGTCATTCGCTCTCTCCAGACCGCAAGTGATGACCGAGAATGTGAGAACCAACTGGTTCTGCTCCTTGGTTTTAACACTTTTGACTTCATTAAAGTGTTGCGGCAGCACAGGATGATGAGTGAGTAGACGGTGCACTTTTCTTGCTTGCTCTGTGTGTGTGTGTGTGTGTGTGTGTGTGTGTGTACATTCAATTGTGGCTGGATTGTGTGTGTGTCGGGGAGGGGGTCTGTCTGTCCATACATTCAATTGTGAGTAGATTGTGTTGCTTCTTTGGCTTCAGCATTTAATTGCCTTCTTTTTGCTCAGGAATAAACGTTATTTCATTCTCTCTTTTTCACTTTCTCTCTGTCCCTATCGTGTTGGGCAGTTTTATACTGTACCTTGTTGGCCAGTGCTCAGAGTGAAGCTGAGAAGGAAAGGATCATGGGAAAGATGGAAGCTGACCCAGAGCTTTCCAAGTTCCTCTATCAGCTCCATGAGACTGAGAAGGAAGACCTGATCAGAGTGAGTCCTGGTTTGTTTTCTTCCTCACCCCATAGCGTCTGAGGTAGTAAAGCATGTCTTTGGTTCCCTGGAGTTTGTCAGGTGCAAAGTCGAGTCAGCACAGGCATCGTTATGGTTGTGGCACTGTCTTCACCTAGCACCGTGGGGACCTGTTTATTACAGTCCAGGGAAGGAACATGCTTAATATAGAACTTGAACTTCCATGGGCAATTGTAGACTGTCTACCTCTGACATCCTCTTTAGAACATTGCACCTTCATTGTGGTTTTTTCCTTTTTTTTTTTTTGCGGTATCTTTGGGTTTGGGGACACACAAGGTAGCACCTGTGAGTGAAACCCAACCCAGAAGGGACGAGAACCCAGGGGCGTGATGATCATTGTGCTTTTCTCTTTCCCTGCTTTAGGAAGAAAGGTCCCGGAGAGAGAGAGTCCGTCAGTCCCGAATGGACACAGATCTAGAGACCATGGATTTGGACCAAGGTGGAGAGGTGAGTGCTGGGCTATTCCCAGGCTGTGGAGGATGGGAAGCTCACCTGCTCAGCCTGTCACTGTTTCCCTGTTCATAGGCTCTGGCTCCACGTCAGGTCCTGGATTTGGAGGACCTTGTTTTTACACAAGGGAGCCACTTCATGGCCAACAAGCGCTGCCAGCTTCCTGATGGGTCCTTCCGACGCCAGCGGAAGGGCTATGAGGAGGTGCATGTGCCTGCCTTGAAGCCCAAGCCCTTTGGCTCAGAAGAAGTGAGTGGACTGCTGTTCTCAGTTCTGTTCTGTCTCCTCTTTTCTAGTTTGGCTTTTAGCCATGGACTAAAAATGTTACCTTGTCTCAATGATAAAATATTCTGGAGGTGGAAACTGTTCCAGAGTTTTCTCATTCTGAGACAAGGAAGTAATAGTGATCTCTCTGGACAGGTTTATAATGGAGAATTATAAACAGTGATTGCCAGGGAATAAAGTTATGGGGAATCACAAAATGATACGGTAATCTTACAAGAATGGTAATTTTATAAGAAATCTTACAAAATGAACAGCCTTCTGGAGGATCCATAGCATAAAGTGTGGGGATATTTCTTCCTCTAGCAACTGCTCCCTGTGGAGAAGCTGCCAAAGTATGCCCAGGCAGGATTTGAGGGCTTCAAAACACTGAACCGGATCCAGAGTAAACTCTACCGGGCTGCCCTGGAGACAGATGAGAATCTGCTGCTGTGTGCTCCTACTGTAAGCATTGTCCTGCCTGATTTTTCTGTCCTGGAAAGTTTGGGTGGCAAGTTGAATCTTAATCTTTATACTAGGCTCTATTCTTTGTGTTTTTTTGAGGTAGGGTCTCACTATGTAGGCCCTGGCTATCCTAGTACTCACTATGTAGAACAGGCTGCCCTTAAGCTCACAGAGGTCTGCCTGCCTTTCTCTGCCTCTGCCCCCCCCCCCCTCCAGTGCTGGGATTAAAGGGGTGGCATACCATGCCTGGCCATTCTCTGTTCTGTTGTGGAAGACAAGGGGCAATCCAGCGGTCGGTTCTCTCTCCGTTTTGGTGCTAGCCCATGGAAGTCAGGGCAATAGCCATAAGCAGATGAGCAGACCTTGTCTCTGACCTACCTGCCTCTAGGGTGCTGGGAAGACCAATGTGGCCCTGATGTGTATGCTGCGAGAGATAGGGAAACACATCAACATGGATGGCACGATCAATGTGGATGACTTCAAGATCATCTACATAGCTCCTATGCGCTCCTTGGTGCAGGAGATGGTGGGCAGCTTTGGAAAGGTAAGTCTCAGCTTCTTTAGAAGATACTTGCCGAAGATGTCCATGAAGTGGGGGGGGGCCTATGTGTCACTATTTCTTTGGTTAGGGAATCTTTGGGTGTTTTTTGCCATTTCCAGGTAGAACTTGACCCAAGTAATTTCTGAAGCAAAAATATCTTGGCCTCTCTTACATGGACTCTATCTTTCTTTGATCATCTCCATAGTGGTTTTGGAGTCATTGCATCTTAAAGTAGTTCTGGCACATGGATATGGTCGGTAGCTTGTGGGTTGTTACTCTGGTTCCACTTTCCTATGTGTGTCCATTTTCCTGCTTCATGTAGGACTCCTAGAGATCCTTTGCATCATCTACCTGAGTGGAACTGAACTTGTTTAAATAATATTTGTTCATCTTTCCTTATTCACCAGATACTTAACTTCTCCTAGTCCCCAGCCCAGAAGCTGCTGCCAGGCCCAGCAAGCACTATCTACCTGACTTTGCACACATTAGTCAAGCCCCTGCCACTGAGCTGCACTTCCAGCCCCATCATTTGTCACTGCTGTTGATCCTTTCTTCCCCAGCGCCTGGCCACGTATGGCATCACCGTTGCTGAGCTGACTGGAGATCACCAGCTGTGCAAGGAAGAAATCAGTGCCACACAGATCATCGTCTGCACCCCTGAGAAGTGGGACATTATCACACGCAAAGGCGGGGAGCGTACCTATACTCAGCTGGTGCGGCTCATTGTCTTGGTGAGTGGGGAGAGTAAAGGGAAGGAGAGACCAGCTGTGGTCAGGCAGTGTTTGCTGCTCTTGTTGGTGGGGTGAACCTGGGAGAGCAGGGCCTAAAAATGAGGTGGACTAAAGACACATGCAATAGCCAACTTTATTCAGAGCATCGGGCAATTTATACTCTGAGGGTTAAGAAGATTCACCTGAGTAAGATATTCAGTCACAAGGACAAGCCATATGTGGCAAAAACATATTTTCCCTTAGAGGCACATGACCAGCAAGAGTGGAAGTCAACTCCCTCCTGCCCACTACACCTGGGAGGAGCACAGAACACGTTCCAAGAGCAGTTCTGTGATTTTGAGGAAACTGAGGTCACCAGACTCTTGTTTTCTCACAAGAGACTCAGAATTCTCACACAACTCCATTATTGGACTGTATTCTGACAGGGGAGGATTTGCTGTGTTTACCAGTTCTGTTTCTGAAGGCCTTTCTCTGTGCACTTTCCTTCATAAGAGCCATTGAGAGCTTTACTGTTACCATTAGCCCAGAATCTGCATGTCCCAGAAGCTTCCCTCCCAGGCAGCACAGGATGTTTGCCACGTCCCATTACCTTTTTTTTTCTTTCCGTGTTTTGAGACAGGGTCTCTCTATGCAGTCCTAGCTGTAGAATCTGAAATATTTTGAATCAAATGGAAACACAAACAAATAATTCTGTCCTCCCAAGAACATTGAAATGCTTTCTGAATAATCTGTTGTCACACAAGACAAGCAAGGAATTGGGTCACTGCATTCCATGTACATAGAAGCAGCCACAGGAAATGGGCTTTGAACCAAGTGTTGATTTGATTTTTGTTTTGTTTTTTTGAGACAGGGTTTCTTTGTGTAGCTTTGGAGCCTGTCCTGGAACTCACTCTGTAAACCAGGCTGGCCTCAAACTCACAGAGATCCCCCTGCCTCTGCCTCCCGAGTGCTGGGATTA